TTTCATTGCTCGGGAAAAATGAGCAACAAAGAAATAAAAATCTGTTGTGCGCAAAACGGCGCGCACGCGCACACACAGAACACATCTCACAGGCAATCACATCTTTTTCGCGATTGCCATTTTAAAGGAGCACTCTTCCTTTCGCGCAGCACATTCCAAGCGAATCGACTGCATTCGAGTCGATCGTCAAGAGGAGTGTTCCGCACTCTATCCCGTTCCCTCTCTGGAACAAACGCATATATTGTGGAGTCGTTGGTGTGTTTTGCTGCTCTTGTTGTTGCTTCTTTTTCGGTGTGCACGTACATAATCTACATCTTTCAGATGAGACAACCGAGATTTGAAGGACCATGATGGCAATTTGATTTGAAATGCAACAGTTTTAACCTGAATGCACGATTGTATTTCTCTTGTCTTCGTCGCGCTGTTCGGTCCGTTGTTGTTCTGGTGTCTGTTTGTTTTTTTTCTTTTTTTCTGATTTTCTTGAATTGTGTGTGTGTGTTTTTTTTCTCGTTTTTCGTTCAAAGTTTTGGCTTGATTCGTGCTTGTTTGTTTGATTTCTTTTTGCCACAATTTACTCTTTGATGTGTTCTCTTTGTTTCGTCTCTCGTTCAATGTCATTTTGCTCGATTCGCGATATTTGCGCGTAGCATGCAATATGAGCGAGTCAAGAAGAAGAAGAAGAAGCAGCAGCAGCAGCAGAAGAAAAATCAACCAAGAATGGCTTTTGTTCTTCGGGCACATCGATTTTTCTGTGTTTATTCTGACAACGACGATGACGACAACGACCACGACGTGGTGTTTTTTCCTCTCTCTCTCTGTTGATTCGTCGCCCGTTTTTCGTTCCTTTTTACGCGAAAATTTGCTACAATTGTTCTCGTCTCCGCGTGTCCATTCCGCTTAATCTAAATATATATGAAAGATTTAAATCATTCTATCTTCAATATGAACCGAACCGAGTGTGTGATGTGTGGTGACTTTGTTCCAAGTTTTTTTTATTCTTTGTTTTTTTTTTGCTTTTTCTTCGTTGCATGGATTTCACTTGGTCGCTTTGCTTTGATTTGGTTCTCTTTTTTTGCTTTCATTAATGGTCGTTTTATTTTTCGTAGAGTTTTTTTCATCTCGTTTTTTTTCCGTTTGTTTGTTTGTCTCTGGCTGTGATTAAAATGATCGTCAATCGTGAATTCTGCACCGAATTTTGAATAAGAGATAATAATGTACCATCGTCGGAGTGGAGTAGAGTGAGGCACACACATCGTGCGCGCTCACAGAGTATTTAGCCAATTTGAGAAAATATATACAACACACCAAGGCGGAACGGAAAAGGGGGAAATAAGCAGAAAAACAAAACCAAAACCGTGGACAAATGCAAACAACAAAACAAAATGACAATTCAATGGAGTGCTTAAAATCGACAGTAATTTTCAATGCGAATAACAATCGTTTTGTTTTTCTCGAGCGCTCGCGCGCGCACACCGACCGCTCACTCTGCCTAGTGTATGTGTGTCTGTGTTTTTTCCTCTTCTGTTCATTCCTTTAATCAATTGAAAAACGGCTGAAACTGATTTATTTATGGTTTTCATTGTCTTGCGCTTGGGAAAAGCAAATTATTTCAGAATTGTCGACACAAACGCTACTCATGGCCGATCGGCATGCAAAAGAAAACAAAGCACAACCCAGCCAACACAGAAGGAAAGCAGAACACTTGATCAAATGAATGTTAAATTCAATATATATATATATATATATTTAAATGTACAAACACACGCAATCGACCCGCCGACCGGCCAACAATGAGACTATTTCCACTTAAATGAAACGATCAACGAGAAAGACAGAAACTTATCCTGACACATTCAAATGCCAAGTGCTACTTAAAAAGACAACGGCGAACAAAAGACGAAGAGAAAAAAGAGCAAGCAATGCATTGGAGCACTGGTGATGACCATAGGCCAAGAGCAACACTCCTCGAGCGCTTTTCAATAAACATTCCACAAAGTAGAACTTTCGCTAGACTAATCCAAATTTTCAAGAGCCATTTACTGAATTCAATACAAAAGTCATGTCAATGGTGTGTTCGCGGGTGTTTGTTTTTTTGGCATGCCAAAAAACCATTAATATAAATCACCTGCCAAAAAGTTTGCGTGATTTGGTGCCATCCCGGTCACACATCAAAGAATTCCATTTCATCACTTCGAAATTGTGGCCAATATCAATCGAAAAGCCTGGGAAACTGAGAAATAAAAATAGCGAAGATGCTCATCGAGCTCTTATCAAGCGAATAGTCATAAAATGGGAATTAATTGTGGTTTCAAATAAAATGCCATGAGATAAGCGCATCATCATGATAGGCTATCAGCAAAGTCTCTTTCGTCTAACGCCTGTAGCCATGCGTACTCTCGCCGGGCTGCAATGGACTGTATGCCGTGTTGTTTGTGTGTGCCCGCGTTTTTTCTTTCTCTCTTTTTCTTAATTGGAAATCATCGATGTGAAATGGTCAAACGAACCGTAGTCCACTTAACCGTCAATGCCATGGCGATAGCATCTGTTAATTTGAGTATTTAAAGATATCACTGAGCAATCAACATCATCATCTATTGACAAGAAGCTTAACATGCGCACAATGGAACCAAATTTAAAGACCAATTTTTTTTCGTGTCGTTTCTCCTCTCCTACCATCCTTCTGTCTTTCTTCGCTTCTTGTATTTCTGTTTTTTCCATTCGTCTGTTGTGTTGCCTTTTTTTTCTTACTTCATCAACATCATCGAAAAGCAATTTCTCTCGCTATTCGCTTGCCATTCCACCGTATGTGTCGTCGTGTTGATTGTGCGCGCGCGCGCACACACCACAAATATATTCACAAAAATTGTCTTGGTGATGCTGCTTCGTTCGGTGTGCTATTCTCTTCGGACGACGATTTTTGTCTCTCGCTCTTTTGTTCAGCGCATCAGATTTGTCATTTCCACAGTGTGTGTTTGTTTAAATATTCCGTAAGAGAAAAGAAAAGACAAAAACACACCGAACACAGCCAATTCGAATGAGTAGCCCGTAAGTGTGTTTGTACGGAGAGCAGCCAGCGATCGAGTGAGCGCACAGGCACACACACATGGCATGGCAATAACAAGAATAGCACACGATACGATACCCAACGAGACAGACAGAGAAGGAGAGAATGAAAGAGGTAAAAAACGGCAAACAGAAATCTAAATCAACAAACCTGTTTTCGTGCTACTTCAGCGATAAATACGCTTTCGGCCGCCGCCGCCGCCGTCGCTGTTGCTGATGCAGCCAGCGCAACACATACACACATGCACACGATTTTAAATGAGAGATGGATAAAATTCACTTCGCGTCATTTTAAATTTTCTTCTCTTCTCTTTTTGCCTTGTTTTTGCAATTGGTTTTTCGGATGGTTTTGCGGATGGTTTTGCGGCCGATAGACGGCTGAAAAAAAAGCCACAAAATCGATGCAGCGGCTATCGCAATCGTGTGTGCATATATACATATTGACTGATCGAACTGTGTTACAGTAAATTCGGCATGCTTTTCTTTCGCTCTTTCATTCTACCTCTCTTTGCATTCGTTGTTGCTGCTTATTGTTGGCTGTGCCAAGGATTTTTCGGCTTGCATATCGCCAAGGGCGACGGTTTCAAATCACCTATTTTATTGCCTGAGCAAGCAGCTTGCGTCCAATTTTACTTATTGAATTTCTTCGGAAATCATACCCGAAATTATTCTCCCGTGGCATTCGGCATTGCAATGGCCAATTCGCAATATTTTCGGAACGGTGATGACGATTCGCAAAAGTCAGGTGTGTATGTGGAATGGAATCAAAATGGACACGTACATTTTTCGTTCATTCCATAAGGAAAAGAACCGGAGGAGAGAAAGAGGGAGAGAGCAAAGAGAACAGTGCGAGCGTAAAAAAAAGAACCGAATGTCGAAGTTGCAACAATTGCAACGATGAGAAGAGAATGACAGCCATGGTTTTTGTGGATGATGATGATGGCTTTGGTGCTTGCGAATACATTTTCGTGTTGAGTGTTTTTTTCTCTTTCTCTTCCTATATGAGATCTGTATTCGATTCGTTTCTCGGTTTGTATCACAGGCTCCAGCATATACATTGTGCATCGTGCAACCGACGAAAAACTGGAAATCAAGGCATCAAATAAGAATTCCACACGGCAAAAGCCACACAACAAAACACACCACAGAGACCGAAGAACAGAACTCTGACTTGTCAGAATAGAAAATTGCGAGAGGCGCGAGCGCGCACGCGCGCTGGCAACAACAGCAGCGGCTAAAGCCGCCAAAGTCAGCCTGTTAATTTGGTTTGTGTTGCGCAAAGCATCGAACGAAGGAACGCTTGGTACAAGCAGACTGCCGCCGCCTCGCACACACACACACATCAAACGTACGCTCATGCAATTAACAACTTGTCGATCGAAGCCCAGGTACAAGTGAATGATTGTGTGTATTGTGTGGCATAGCATTGTGAATGCTTTGCGCCGCATGCACAAAACAAAAACAAACCGTTGTTCCCATCTCTTTCGCATTTATTCTTGAGCATCTTACCATTCTTGAGCAGCGATTGCTGCCGTTGACGTACGCTCACATTCGTAAAAGGTAACATACACGCGCGCGGCTGCATATACTCACACATACACACACCGACGACACCGTTTGCTCGTGCAGTGAAAAAGAGATCGACGTATGGCCACAACAATAGCAACAAACAGAGCAACGGACAACATTCAACCATACATCGATATAGATTGATATAATGGAATAATATTGAGAAGCAGGCGCACAACACACGCTCACCTTTATATTCTTTTCTCCAACTGTCTTACCATACGTGTAGCGCAGTGTCTTTCGTTTCCTTCTTCTTTTTCGGGTTTTTTGCTCTCTTGCCGTACGGAATTTTCTTGTTGCATGCTTGGTTTGTGTGTTGTGGAATGGTGAGTCTTCAGTTGATCGTAGGCTCAGGCTAAAGAAAGAGGTACGGACAGACATGCGATTCGTTTGATTCGCATCGTAAGTGAAACGATATTCAAATTTGTAAAATCGCAATAGTACTCGTAGCGAGGAGAAAAAATACCAACAATTGGATTATATTTTTGTGCAAATTGGATTGAAATAATCACATTTGATTTGAATCAATCAAAATCAACGTTATGTGAATATGGAAAAAGACATTGTTTGATGTTGAATCCAAAGTTTGAAGTGAAATCCAGAGTTTGCGTTTTATCACAACGAAATTCGTTTGTTTTGTGAAAGTGTTTGTCAAGTGCATTCAAGCCAAAGCAAACGAAAAGGCAATAAAACATTGATAAAAAAAGACGATTCATTACAAAAGTCTAAAACGATCCCAGGTTAAACCTTCAAAACAAACTAAGTGTAGATGGTTATTGTGCGGGCAAAGAAGATATTGAAGGGAAAAAACAAAGTTGTGGATTTTTCCTGCTGGAATTTTAATTTCGAAAATTATTGTAATTGCTTTCTGTGTGTGTGTATTGTGTTGGCTTGGCTTGGCTTGGCTTTTATCAACTCTTTTGACCCCATAGTGAGAAGAAATAAAGTTAAATTTTATTTTAAATAAGAACAACGATACTGGATAATTTAGCCAATAATTTCGCAATTAAACTGCATCGAACGACTGCAATGATCCGTTAACTATTGTACACACACAGAAAAAAAACACACACGGGGCAACAAAAACAAACCAGCAACCACAACAACAAAACTCTGCACACACGGAGATTGTTGCATTGAGCGAGAGAAAGAAGCAGATAAACGGCAACAAACAAGCCAACTAACCAACCAGCCATCCAGCCAGCCAGCTCAGTCAAAGGCAGCGCAAGAGAGCTGAGCTCCAAAACGCGAACAAGACAGATACCCAACCGACAACAACAACAAGTAACAGCCGAGTTACTTGAAGAGATCGACGAACTGTTGTGTGTTCTTTCTCGCTCTGTGTCTGTGCATATCGAGGAATAATAATAATAAAGCAGAAAAAAAGGTACACACAACGTAAATACGCTATTTAAAAATCTATGTAAGAAAACATTTTCAGCATAGAGCCCGCGCGCAATAGCAACGTGTGTACCGAAAGGAAAAGAAGAGGGAAAAAATATTGTGTGCAACAGATCATTTCAGTTTCTGTGCGCCTTTTTTCCGCCAATTTCAGTGTGCTAACATCGCTTAATATCGCTATTTTTAAGGTGAAGTCGAATCGGCATCGAGCGCAAGCAAGAGATAGATAACAAACGAGCGAGTGTGATCGAGAAAACCGAAGCGCAAAGAAAAAAAAAAAACAGAACAAAAATTTGTGTGTTATTGTTAATGTGTATACGGTGCGATTAGTTAGCATTTACATGATCAAAAAGTGCACACGCGTTGTATTCTTGTTTTGCGAATTAAATTGTCTACATATCGTGAATTCTAGTTTTTTTGATTGTTGTTTTTGCTGTTCGTTTGACTTAAAAATTGCATCCATCGATAAATATCTTGGGCCGACGAAAATTTAAACGTGTCTCGGTGAACAAATCAATTTTGTGGTTTATTTCGGAGTGTACGAAGAGGAAAAAAAGTGAATGGTCTTCGAAAAAAAAACGATCGGCAAAAAAGAGAGAATAATCAGTGCATTTGTGAGAATTGTGAAGCGAGTCAACGGAAAAAAAAAATTATTTTCATATCGAGACAAAGAGATTCCAATGATACAAACGTGACTCGCAAGAAATGGTTGTTCGTTTAAGTGCTTGCACCTAAATCTTTTGTACGATTGAATGACAACAAAAACCATAACATATTGCATTTGGATACGCACACATACAAAACAAAACCGGGAAATTTTAAGTGCCTTGCAAAAAAATAAAAACAGAAGAAAGAAGACAGATTAAGGATCGAAACGATATTGCAGGCGCCATTTAAATCTCTTTGAACGAACGATCAATCGAAAGACATCAACGATCCAACGGATGACGGCCACTTACTAACGGCGAACAAGGTACTTTTCCGGTTATTTTTTTCTTTTTCACTCGATTCTCAAAACTGTTTTCAGAAAATATTTTATGCGTTTGTGATTGTGATTGGATTATTAGATCTATAAACTGACAAAAAAAGCTGAGAAATACATAAAATTCTTCCAATGTTTCGACATAAAATTTCAATTAGATATCCCTTCCTAAACAAAACAAAAAATAGCCAGAACCAAGCGTTTTTCTTCTCCAAACACAATGACCATAATATTCGAATTTACTCCGAAATCCATTCGATTTCATTTTCGATGCGCTTAATTTTTCCCAGTTCTGTCTTCAGCGCATGAAAAATTACAACGAATATTTATATGGCTAGGTCGAGGTTACAATCAGAATAACAATGCGATCGGGATCGGGATCGGCCGAGATAGAAATAGACAAAATAATAAAATGAAGAGAAAAAACAACTCGAAATATATATATTGAACAGGAGAGTGAGCTGAATTGGAAAAAGGCTGGCGAGAAACCAGAAAAAAACGACGAAAAACGTCGACAAGAAAAGAATATGCATTTCATTGTATCATCACATGGGTCACCTACCTGCCGAGCCGAGCCTTCCATTCTCCTTTCAATGCATTTCACCGAGCGAGATTTGTGTATTTTTTTCTCTTTTCTTTTTTTCTCTCTCTCTCTCTACGCGCTGTAGAAATAAGAAATAAATCTCAAACGAAAGAGGAAAAAAAAAACAAAAAAGCCATTGAACGAGCGTAGAACAAAAATCCAAATCGAAGCGTTTTAATTTCAACATTGAAAACTATGAACCACACAAATTATTTATTCTGTCAGCATTTTTCTTCCCTCATTTTTTACGGCCGTTTATTTCTCTCTTGTTTTTTATTTTCACTCGAAATCGAAGTTTTTGGGAGTTCGAAATGTGTTTGGTTCTTTCACAATATCGTTCGGTTATTTTGAAATGCGTGCAGGTCAGGTAGAAAAAATGATGACGATCAGTCTTGAAACAGCGGAAAAAACATACTACTTCGCTTTTTTGATTAGGAATTATTCTCTTGTTGGAAATGAGCTCGCTCTCCCTCACTTGGGATGTTGTTGGTTCCTTCGAAATTTATTACACCGATAAAGACGCATTTCGTTCGCATCTTATGAAATGATTAATGGTAAATATTGATTTAATATTTCTCTGTCTCTCTTGCTCCCTCTCGCTCAGTACTTTCTATTCGTTTCGGCAATAGTTCAAACAATGAGCAAGCAAACCAGCCAACCAACCGATTCACTGTAGAATTGATGCATTATTTGTGAAAGTTGTACAAATATGTGTGTTTTAATTGCATTTTCTGTTGATTTAATTGTGATCAAATGACAATGCTTATTTATGTGGCATTCATCATAGACTTCACGAGTCTGTGTGCCACAGTTAAGTTGAAATGAGAGTCGGCGGCTGTTAGTTGAAATGAGAGAGAAAGCCGACCAAAGAAATATGATCTTAGTTTATAAACCCAAATTATCTAAACTCTTTCGTCTCGTCAACGGCAAAAAGGTATTTTTTTTTCGAGTAAGAGCTTGTAATTTTTCAGCATAACGCTCTCATCAACCCCAGCCATACCGCATAACAATGCTGTCAAATGTGTGCGCATTTTTCATATCAACGTCAAAAACAAAGCAATTCATATATGAAAACAATCGAGAAAAGAAAAACACTTCCATGTTCATCATGATATGGCACAAAAATCACTATAATTTCTCTCCTACTAGCTGCTTATTTCCGAACTTGGGCTTGGGATTTGTTGGTTTTATTTTCTCATCATCACTCATTCATAATCGAATCTTGCTCATAATGCCACACCATAGTTCCGACCGAGAGGGAGAGAGGGAGAGACAGAGACCAAATTTTGGTGCTTGATTGAACATCGCGATCTGCTGATCAACTGAAAACAAAAGCGACGAAATGCAAACATTAATCCACTTGGTGAAAAATGGTTACAAGCTAAAACAAATAACAATGAATTAAATCGTTTTTTTTCTCTCTTTAAGTTCGTGGAGATGAATGAAGCGAGAGAAGAAAAAAGAACAACAGCATTTAAAAAAACAACAAACATCACCCATTGAAAACATAGCAAAACTGAAGAAAAAAACAACCGAGTGTTTGTTCGCGAGAGAGAAATAAGAAAGAAAAAAAAGCAAAACAGCATTTCATTCGGCGCAGCGGCCGGATTCGAAATGAAAATAAGTGGAAGACAAAAAAGTTACAATGAGCAAGACAAAATACCACACCTTATGCTTTAATATAAGTGTTGTTTGGCTTTCAGCCAGCCAGCCAACCAGCCAGCTTCGATCTGATCGATGCCAACAGTTCGATATGTTATTATGCATGGAATTGTGTGTGCTGTACGTATATGTGTATATGCAAAAGGTAAAGCGCATTATGTAGTTATACGTTCATTTGAAATTGTATGAACGAGCGCGCGCATAAATTGTGCATTTGTGGAATGTACATATAAACCATTTTAATATGTGTAATTAGAGTGGTGAGGAGATTTGATTTGGTTCTGTTGTTTCTGTACTTTTTCTTAATCGCTTTTGTTTTCCAGCGTCTCGTTCGCTTGTTCTCAAGATAGATAAAATATAATAAGCAACAGACGTAGGCGAGGAATCAATGTTTTGTTTTTTTTTTGGAATTTTGGGTTCGATACCTTAAAAAAACAAACACACACACAAGCGTTGCATTTCGAAATTCGGCGCATTTTTCGCGTCACGATTTATGAACCGACGAGATGTAACTCGTTCCATAAATGTGCGGTTTTTTTCGTCGTCATTTTTTTTTCTCTCTCTCTCTCTCATTTCCTTTTCAGTCAAGACCAAAAACGAAATCGAGTGTGTTTGATGTAATTTTTCGATAAAAACAGATGCTCCTTTTGTTCTCTTGTGGCTATGAATTAAAAGAAAATTAGATTTTGTTTTGATCGACAAGTTAAAATAGGCTCAGCGCTAGCACTTTGGCGCACCACATTAAGGGTAAACATCGATGGATAAATAAATACGGCATTTAAAATGCCGAATGATGGCAATAATTTTGTGTTTTTTTTTCCTCTCTTACTCAATGCTGAATGTACAATGAGCGGAATGGAACCGCAGGTGTCATACAAAACTGCTGACAATCCTATAAATTTGAAATGTTTTTTTTTATTTCGCTTTGGATTCACTCATTCCATTCGCTCGCATTTCATATCGACAATCATTTTTTTTGGTTTATTCGTCGGTTTTGGCGTTCCTCTTTAGCACCGTGCTTCGTTCCGTTTTCTCTATTTTTGTGTGTATTTTGCGGTCGGTGCGAGAGAGAGAGAGAGAGAGAGAGATTCTTATAATCTTAGTTTCGGTTCTCAATGATTCGTACACACGATAGAATGAAAGAGAATCCCATTATAAAATCATTTGTTTCCTTTGTTTTCATATTTGCCGCTCGGCCCGTGTTCATTTGTTCTTATTTTCGTTTCTTTTGTCCATTTCTCTCTCGCTCGCCAGCTCGCCCGCTCTTTCGAGTTCTTTTCTTTTTCGTTATTTTTTTCGGATTCTTTTTTTTTGAATAGTAAGCGGCCTCTAATAATGCTGAAACCCAACAGTGAGTGCGACAACAGAAACCATCGGGTGATACAGGAAATGGGCTTTTCTTACTTCGCTAATTTAGAAAACAGTCAAAAATAATTACGTATCATTACATACTATCATCCTATTTTTTTCCTTCATTTCGTTGGTTCTTATGTCTTTTGTATTCCTTTTCCTCTCTCTCTGTGTGTATGTGCGCGCGCAACTTTTCGACACGATTACATTTCGATGTACAACAAATCTTACAGATTCGTTGAAAGTTCTCGCAGTTGTGGTGTGTGCTTTTTTTTCGTTTATAACACACAATAAAATTGGTGGCATCTATCAGTCAGCGGTGTGTTGATTTTCTGCTTGCTCGGCAAGAATCCGCATTTATATACACTTTTCTCTTCTCTTTGGTGTGGTGTGTGTGTTTGTCGGCCCACGCTAAATCACAGGTTACCCTTTAATTATAAGGGAAAAGGAAGGAAACGAATGACAATAAATCGTTGGATACGTGCATTTGAATAATGACTCACACATCATCATCACTGCCGCCGCCGACGAAGACGACGCCATCCATACACAAGCTGGCACTCGTTTTTATCGTCAATTCCTTAGGATAATGATCTTAGTTTCAGTGTAATTTCTTTCCTTTTTGCTCACTATAAATTCGATTCGGAGCGATAATTGAGTCGAGGTTCCATTTGAAATAATGATCAAAAAGAATAGACGAACTGAAATGTGCACAATGCGTGGCGTGTGAAACGTTTCGCCTGGTTAAGCGTGAAAGTGCGCAAAAGTGCGAAAGAATTCAGAGTTTCAGTTTACACCGCCGACAATCTACTCATATTGTTCACCTCAATTAACGAACAAATTAAAAGTTTTGCAATCAATTAAAGCGTCTGCCATTGGCTCACTCACAGAGAGATGCAGCCGATGAAATCCAGAAGACCTCATTGCACATCAATTTCTGTTGTTTATTTGTTTTGTTCGCATTTCCTTGTTCGGATATTCTAATGCATGCCTAAACACACATACACTTGCTTGCTTGCTCGCTCAATTACTTGGTATTCATTGAGCGAAACCTGCTCACTCTCTTCATGCTACATGAGCATACCGCACATGTTTGCCCTCCTATTGAACACTCTCGAATAATAATAATCATGTTTTTTTATATCGAATAACACGTATGCCGCTTTTTTCCTCTCTTTTTCTCTGTGCATTTCAGAATATTCTTCTATAAATAAATTGATGTGAAAATATTTCGTTTTTTCTTTCATCGGACGTGGGAACCTTTGGACAAGTCTTAATTTGCCAAACATAAGGCATTTTTCATATAAAAAATAATTGTTATGAGTTCAGTTTTTTGGGAGCAACCGTTTTCGGGGGATAATTTAGATTATAAATTGTTTGGACTATTCAATGGAATGGCCGGAGAGAAACTACATGTTTTTTTATTCAACGCATGAGAAACGACACGTATGAATTTTTATAGAAGAAAATGACCGTTGCAAGGCCAAATTAACCATGATTATTAGTCGACCAACATTTCTGTAACATCGAACAACAATACACACCGTAATGAAGATATGATTTGTAAGACTTAATGGGAACGTGTGATTATGATTTTTTTGAACAGAGAAACAACGATATTTCGGCCAAAAAACGGCTGGAGATAGACAAAAATCCGAATCATTTTTCTAGAGAAATGAAGAAAAAAATCTTCGTGGTTTTTGAGACAGCGAATCTTGTGCTGCGTCTCTCTGCTGTCTGAATATCCAGAACACAAAGCATCATAATGAAAAGAGCAAGAAATTATTACATTAGCACCCATAAGCGTAAACTAACCGTAATAATATCCGTCATCTTACGAAATTTGTTCTTGTTCCATGGCATGTAAATATCGCTTACTCTGCCCAGCTCTATCTCTCGCGTACTTGAACATAAATATTTGTTTCTCATCGCACGCCGTTATACGCTCATAACTTTGTCAGTGCAAAAGAACCAAGACCAAGCATCATAACGGCTCGAGCAGAAGAAGAAGAAGAAGAAGGAAAAACTAGCTAGATATATTGAAATACAAATGACAGCACGAATATATTATAAGCAACGTCAATTTATGGAATTTCACGTGCAATTGCGTGCTAAATTTTTTATTTTCCACGAGATCGCTGGGGCACGGTCGAACCGATTTTACTTTTCATGCTATTGGGTGAGGTGAGCAACATCATCGTCATCGTCGTTGTTGTTGTTGTTGCCGATGCATTTGAAATTGATTTTGTGCCGATGGCATTTTTTCTACCCGGTCGACCACATACGAATACCGTGTAGGCATATCCGTCAAACAGCGAACAGCTATTATAAACACCATCGCAGGCTCGCGCGCTGACTTCATCGTCATCATATGCAAACACTCCGAGCAAACGCATTACTTTGTGTGCAGCCCGTTTGTGTGCTTGGGTGCTTGTGCTTGTGCTTGTGCATTTCAAAAGTGCACTGGTGAAGTGATCTTCCTTTCGCTTTTTCTATGCAATCATAAATCTTTTCCGAATTACAATTTCCGCACCCAAAACGCAATTGCCAATGCGCAATGCAACACAATCCAACCAAATCCTCTCTCGTACACATAGCATATTTATATTGCGTTGTTCGCCTATGTTTTTCCAATGTTTTTACTATCTTTGTTCATTATTTTACCTTAAAATGACATAATTTTTGTTCCTTTTGCCATTTTTCGCTCACAATCTCTCTCGCGCATGCAAATTTTGCGTTCGCCATTGAATGGTACGCAATATGGCCATATTTGCAACTCTTTTTTCTGTTTTGATCATTCTTGATATAATACTTGGAGTGCATAGAAATGAGTAAAACATTGTACACAATGATTAATTTGATAAAGTCAAAAGGAGAAAAAAATGTTTAATAAAGAAGACGAAAAAAAAAAACACAAACGAAAAATCCGATATGCAAAATTGCGCGATTTACTAGCATCGGCATCAACAGGGAAAAAGTGCAAAAAGCCACAAGAAAACATCTCTCTTTTGACTCGAGCCAGCCTGGCTGCCTGGTTGGTTCACTCGTTCGCTGCAGTAGTAATTGCAAGCCACAATTTATCTTAAAATGAAATATAGCCATGGCAAACGATGCGAATTTTTTGTGTTGTTCAGCTATTTGGTCAAACAACTTTCACTTGAATTTTACACGTTTCTATCTCACACGTACGAGAAAAGAAATGATTTGGTGTGCGCGAGCGCACCACGGAAAAATGGTCGAATCGAATTGGGAATCGAATTGCTGGGGCAGAAAGAAAGAAACCGTCATTTGGCAAACTAATCAACTATTAGCCTAATGATGATTTCATTGTATGCAGCGCAATGCGCATGCACATTCAGCTCGACGAGGCATATTTAAATAATAATTAATTTGATACATGGAAAATGTGGCGGTGCAAAAGACACATAGACGAAGGTGAGTGTGCAATGGGCGCATTCAGCAATATAATTGATTATGCAAAAAGACGGATAAGAATTTCAATAGACCAAGCGAGTCACAACAAGAGAGAGAGAGAGAGAGAGAGAGAGAGAGAGAGAGAGAGAGAAAGCAGAGAGATATGCTATGATTTGGTGAACACGCTGCAGCGAATCGTACAAATAGCGTGAAAATTAACTGCTACAAATGCCGGCAGTGAGCGAATATGCGACGCAGCCGCCACAGAGCGAACAAAAAAAAATGACATACAAAAAAATTGCCAACACCAATAGAGATGAAATGAATGGGTTTATGCCCATCGAAATGGTAAAGCCACAGGGTGAAGAGATTATGAATTTGTGTGGCACTGCACATTCCAATTGCTTCGCATATATGCGCCGTATATGTATGATGACGAAAAACATAGTAGATGATTTTTCTGGCGATTTTATATTTTTCTCTTGACTGTCACCCAGGCGCACACTGAGCAAACGAACGAGCGACTGAGTAAATGGTGTGTTCGAGTGCCATTTTCAGGTTCGCCTTTCGAAAAGGAGAAGACGAAGGAAAAAAAGACACCACGAACTGAGGGAAAGAGAACGAAATGGAAAAAAGGCGACATAATCTATCGTTTGTATGACTTGTTCGTATGGACGAGTTTTCGGTGTGCCCGAGAGTCGAATATCATGTTGCTCAGTGCGCTTGATTTATTACACCGAACGACACAAAGTCACGGAGAGATACGAAAAATGTTTAATAATCGGCGTGTGCATTTCGACTTCAGTACACACCGTGCGCGCGCACTTACTCAAATAGAAAAAGAACCAAAAAAAAATAGACTCACAAAACATAGGCAAATAATAATCATTGCAAGTGAGCGAGAGAGAACGAGAGGGAGACGACGAAACAGAACACAAACAACAACAAGCAAAACCATCTTTTCTTACTACAACAGCCAATAAATTTATGAATTAGATGATAACGATAAAACGATGATATAAAAAAGAGCGCGCTAACACAACTTCAGCGCTATGCTCTTCATCGCGCAGCACACACACAACTCTTTGTCAAATTCAAAGAGATGGCCTATGAAAATATACTCTCTGGTGAAGAGAGAGATATAGATTTGATTTTTTTCACGTATGTTTGTGTTTGTGTCACTGTTGTGCATTTCCTTTCGGTCTTTCACTGCGCACTTTCCACTCGGGCTTTAATCTTCTTGTCGCTCGTTAACAATGTTACCTTTAACAGTGCATTGAATTATACGGCGTGTCGTTTGGCTTCATGTCGTTGTTCGTTTCTTTTTTTATTTTCAGTCTCCACGCCGCGACTGTTAAAGAGTTTCAATGTTATGCTCTTATCGCGGTATAACTCTTCATTTTTTTTCTCTGTTCTATTCCTAGAAAGAAGCGAGTAGTTACAAAGACAATATTTGTTTCGGTTTAACATAGTATTCTATCAAGACGTTTTATTGCCTAGGCATAAAAAAAAATGGCGCGGCGAATTGGAGAAAAAAAACAACAACGACACCAATGAAGAAAAATCAAGTGATGCAAGTTGACGCGCATACTTAGCATTTCAATTGTAGCCATGGGATTTTTATGAACATCACGCACAACAATAATTTTTGTTGAAAAAAAAACTTCCCTATTTTTCCACTTTTCTCTCTCTCTCTCTCACTCGAAAAACGAACGCATAAAAAAATACTTGTCGTAACTTATTGCTTTCATCCATTTCTGGTCGTTCATCCGTCCGATGGCATCAAGCGTCCGAAAATCATAAACATTTTCTAGATACAGAGAAAAAAAATAAAAACTTTTCATTGTTCATTTCATAAATCCCATTATTGTGCGCTGAATTCATCTGTCTGTGCGTTGACCATCATCAAAATACATGTCGATGCATCGACAGTCATAAATATAAAATTTATCTCCTAATTAGCCACAATGTAAGCAATTTTCATACATGTGGAAACAGCCAGCCAGACCGCCAGCCAGCCAACAAACAAATAAGATTTTTATATTTGTCATCGCGTGTGTTTGCATCGCCACAACGCACCAAACTAGTTTTCTTTTCATACGTTTTATGTGTTGTTTCTGTCTTCGTTGGCATCGTCTTGAAATGCCCATTATTGTTCGCATTGTTCAATTGAGGGTAATTAAAATATTAATTCCAAAGGCTAAAAGCCGACATCGCGATCGAAAAGCGTAAAATTTAAAAAAAAATCTCCAGAGAGACACATACACACAAGCGGTACACAGTTCATTTGCACCGATTGCACAAAACTTTCGAAACATTACTGTCAATGGGAGGCAAATAACTTGTCTCACTTCGCTTCGATTCGGTTGCATTTCACTTCCAGTGAAAAAACGTCGCAGTCACAGTCGATGCCACAAATTGCAAATGTAATTATCACGGGCAAAACTCTCTTATTGACAATGAATGGATTTTCTTTTCAGTTCAAAATGCAGAAAAAAATGAAGGAAAAAAATGAAGAAAAAAAATGCATCCGATTGAACTCGATTGAGGGAAGTAAAGAAAAAAAATGTCTTTGGAAAAAGAAAAAAGTTGTGGCTTTTCCAACTGGTATTTTTCTACGAAACCAATTTGCATGTAACTCAAACCCAATCACACACAGCGCGCAAATGATAAACCAAATGATATTTCTTTTCTGTGTTTTAGCTTTTGTTTTTTCTCTTTTCCAATTTAAATTCTCGATCGATGCTTCTATCTTTACTAGTTTTTATTTCCAATATTTTATTCACTCTTTATCTGTTAATTTCCTTTTCCAGAGAGTGAACGCTGCGACAGCAAGTGGACAAAAACGAGCGAGAGTACCGAAGAGTAAGCGATATAGTGTGTGCGAGCGAAACCCATTCGAAATAAATCATAAAGCATCGACACAGGGGTCATTGAAACAGAACATAGTATAATCTGAGGCAGCTATAACGCGCAATGGTTCATTTACATAATTTTAATCGGTGATGATAAAAAGCGGTGAGTTGCTGCTGTATGCGTACACGTAGGTGAAAGATAAATTATGGCAGCATCCACGAAACAAACCACGACAACGGCAACAACGACGACGACGACGACAAAAATGTTGTGTCTCATTGGGATGAGGCGACTAGTTTGGCTGTTGTGGTGGTCAATGCTAATGTGCATTGCGTCGTCGGTCAGCCAAACAATGGCCGAACATGTATGCGAATTAGAAGTGTCAGAAGGCGTACCAATTGGTTATCAAATCGGTTATATTGGCGAGTTTTTGCACGGTGTTGATAGTGGCCCACCGTATTTAATCGTTCCGGTGCAAGGTAGTGCCGTCGAACCGGATCTATCCATTGATCATACGACCGGTGAAATAAGAACAAAAGTGCTATTGGATCGTGAAACACGGGCATCCTATTCATTTGTCGCCATTCCGATTAGCGGCGACAATATTAAAGTGTTAATTCGTGTACTGGACGAAAATGATAATGCGCCTATATTTCCATCGCCATCGATGAATATTGAATTTCCGGAGAATACACCGCGCGATGTAAAGCGTACACTAAATCCGGCACGTGACTTAGATTTAGGGCGATACAATACGCAACGTTATAATATTGTGTCGGGCAATGTGAACAATGCGTTTCGGCTGTCGTCACACCGTGAACGTGACGGTGTTTTATATTTGGACTTACAAATCAATGGATTTTTAGATAGAGAAACCACACCATTTTATAGTTTAGTGATTGAAGCGATTGACGGTGGTAATCCACCGTTACGCGGTCAAATGTCCGTGAATATATCGATACAAGACGTTAACGATAATACACCGATATTCAATCAAAGCCGATACTTTGCATCGGTGCCGGAGAATGCAACGATCGGTACAAAAGTGCTTCAGGTGTATGCCAGTGACATTGATGCTGGCCACAATGGTTTAATTGAATTCTCAATAAATCGTCGACAAAGTGATCGTGAGCAAATGTTTCAAATTGATGGCAAAACCGGCATCATTTCGGTGAATAAGCCATTGGATTTTGAAACAAAAGAGCTGCATGAATTGGTTGTGGTGGCCCGTGATCATGGTGAGCAACCGTTGGAAACGACGGCGTTCGTGTCCATTTCGGTAACGAATGTCAACGATAATCAGCCAATAATCAATGTAATTTTCCTGAGTGACGATGCAACACCGAAAATATCGGAAGATGCACAGCCGGGCGAATTTGTGGCACGCATTTCGGTAAACGATCCCGATTCAAAAACCGAATACTCCAATGTGAACGTTTCACTGATTGGGGGTGATGGACATTTTGGTTTAACCACACGCGATAGTATAATTTATTTGGTAATTATTTCGTTGCCGCTGGATCGTGAAGTGCAGCCAAATTACACGCTGAGCATCGTGGCTACCGATCAGGGCAATCCACCGTTGCACGCATCCAAAACCATTTATCTGAAAGTAACCGATTGCAACGACAATGCGCCCGAATTTGAAAAGGAAATTTACCATGCGAATGTGATGGAGGTAGCCGATCCGGGCACATCAGTTCTACAAGTGGCCGCAATTGATCGTGATGAAGGCAACAATTCGGTGATTACGTACTCCATATTGGATACACCGAATACGCATTCGGATTGGTTTCAAATCGATCAAAACACCGGATTGATCACCACACGAACGCACATCGATTGCGAAACGGAGCCGGTGCCACAGTTGATTGTGCAGGCACGAGACAATGGTGTACCGCCAATGTCATCGACTGCAACGGTTTTCATCCAAATCCACGATGTCAATGACAATGAACCGATCTTCGATCAAAGCTTCTACAATGCCACGGTTAGCGAGAATGATCCAAAGGGCAAATGTATTTTAAAGGTAAGTCAAAACCATTTAATTGCTTTCGAAAAAAACATTCATTATTTTACTATATAGCACAGTTTTCCATGCGAAATGGAAACACACGACGCAAAGCAAAGGAGTCGGGAACAAAACAAAAATTACTATTAACAGCTCCGGATCAATTGTCTAGGCAGATTTTCGTATTTATCCATTTGGAAAAATACTTTGTTTGCGAGATTTATTGTTTGCCATTATTAGTTAATGTCGTGCATGAATTACGGTATTTTCTATTTCACCACGAGCGCAGCAGCAGCAAGAGAAAAACAATTCTTGCGATGGATTCGCATCATTTGCTCGTCGTGGTGTCACAGCCAGAAGGAAATAGATATGAATACAACGAGAGAAACGAAAACAGCATACAACACACACGGAGAAGAAAGAACGCAAATGGCCAAAGGAAATCGAAACAAAAGTCAAGAATTTAGAGTCATTCATCTGTTTCGTTGATTTCGTTTTGTCGGGAATACGATAACATTTTTTTCTGCTGTTCATGTAGAAAAAACGAATTGTATATCACGACACGACACAAACGATCACACAACGCGATTTCTGGTAGCAAACCGTTTGCAATCTTTCATTGAAAATCTACGGCAACCGAGAAAAAATCGCGAAACAAAAAAAAAGGCAAAATAATTTCTTCGTTTGTGTACATCGTTCAAATGCTCTATCCGCGAGTTGTTATTGTTGTTGCGATTTGCTGGTGCTGCTCTTTTTTTTGTTCATTCTGTGTGTGTGATTTGGAGAAAAGACGGTTCGACAGAGATACATATTTACATGAGTTTCTGCTGAAACGGTCAACGAACATATCGGCTGGCATCCATTATATCATAATAGAAGAGCAAAAGAACGAGCAAAAAAAATAAGCGACAACGAGAGATGAATCACGTTCAATTCGGTCTTTTTTCTTCTGTGTTGCTTTTCAATTTGCATCTTGTTCCTCTTATTTCCATGTCCATAATATTCAACTGGTGCAAATGGATATCTCGGCAAAACCATTTGTTTGGCCCAAGACACAATCGAAAAACAAACAATGCTAGGGAAAAAGAACAAACGAAGGATAGAATGAGATGGATAGAATCGGTCCAATGAGGCAATAACATTTCACGGTGATCATATTATGATTTTAATTTGATTTACATATCTCTCTGTCTCGCTCGATCTCCCGCTCGCCAGCGTTGAATACACACGGGAATTAGATTGTATTCTTAATTTTGAAACCATTTGTCTATCTTCTCGTGCAAATACGACGTGAGAGACTTTGCCAAACGACTTGCCATTCCATTTTCGATTCTACATTAGTTTGAACTCTAAATTAATGAAAGCGATTCTTCAAAATTGTATATACATCTTCGTGAATTTAAAACTGTCTCTCAAAACAGCATAAACGATAACAACAACAACAACAGCTACAGCCACAGCAAAAACAAAAATTAGATTCCGATTCGTATAAGAAGTTGAGTAAGAAACAGAGAGGAAAAATTTCACAAAAACCAATAAAAATAAAGGTTTTAAGTGTCGATTTAAAATTAGAGTTGTGTGTCTTTTTTTTTCTTTTTCCAAATGGAAACTTTGTTCACTTCGGTTCGCGCGGTCCAAATAAAGTAGGCGACTACAATTATAATCATCGAACGAAGAAGAAGAAGAAGAAGCGGAAAAAAAGATTCTAGTTTAAGACATATATACACCAGATCGATGAAAGATTAAAATTTTTCGATTTTTGATTACTTAATTTTTACCGTTGTCGAAATCATCTTTGTCGCTATTTCCATGATCGGATGTTCGTTCTTTTTTCTTCTACTCTCTGTTCATCTCTCTTGCTTTCGTCCATCGTCTCTCTTTTTTCTCATGTTCATTTCCTTGGCCGGTGATCGGCTTCGATAGCGTCGTTCACGTTGATTCGTTTTGTTAATTTACAGTATTTGAAATTTAAATCGTTTGAAAAAGAAATACGAGCAGCAGCAATAGATCGAGAGACATGTTTTGTGACTTTGGTGCTAATGAAGTTGTTTGCGATCATTGAACGCATCTTCGCAGGCTGCGGCTTCGATCAGCAGCGGACGCGGTACACACATACACTATTTTTTTATATTTGGGAAAAATCGTGGGTAATACGTTTGTAATCTTCTCGGAAATTTTTCATTCGTTTCGAAGCGAATATTTAAGCGACACATTGTTGCACCAGCTCTTCGTTCAAATCACATCATTTAATTCCGTACAAAATTCGAAATTGAATTAGTTAAAAAGAACAATCATTTGAATTATGCTATCATTTTTAAATGAAATCAATTTGCAAGCGATAAAATCAAGCTCCCCACGACTTTTTTTAGAGCATTTAACGGACAGCGCTCGATGCTGCGGCCTTAATATGTATTGCAATCGTCTTTCTTGATTTTATTCGATTTGATCTCTCACACAAGCACACAGAGCGAGAGAGATCGAAAACTGACAAAACAAAGTCAGGCCAACATCAAAGCTCGTATCTGACATTAAGTAAATTACGTTGAAAAGTTGCTATAAATTTTCAAGCCGAAATTTACATATATTTTTGTTTTAAAATAAATTTATTTTTGTATCGTTCTTTATGTGTGTGTGTGTGTTTGCGTTGGATTCTTTTGGTGTTGTGAGTGGTCATCGGAGGCTTGATAAGTTGTGTCATACACAAAGGCATTTTTCTGATTGCGTTCGGTGCGCGCTGTGCACAAATCAACGGTCGTTGAGTGAGTCAAAATCTCTTAATGAGTTTATTATACGACATTTTTTGTTTCTGTGGTATTCCATTCTACCGAGCTCGCAAGAGAAGAACGATTCAAAGCTATTTATTCTCTTAATTCATTCGAAAAATCATCACGAACAAACAACACACAGACGAAAAAAAAGAAATTATTTAATTAACATGGAAATGATATGGTTTCGTTCGAGAGATGATGATCACACAGCCGCATATTTTCGGTTTGATACGTCGTGTAAATCCCAATCCGTTGTCGTCACCGTCATTGTATCTAAGTTCAAAATAACGATAATTTCATCTTAAACGTCTTATCTCTGGGCGGTACACATTGTGTGCCGCGACAAGATATGGGGGAAAAAGGTGTGAAATCCTTTTTCGTATATTCCGGATGGGCTGTTCCAGCTGCCGCACCAATATCGCAATGAATGGCCTCGAATCGTGTTAGAAGAGGTTGATAATTTTAATTTTAAATGATGATGATGATGGTGATTCGAATTGAATGGCTTAAGATAATTTCATCTGGAAATTGTTTCCTTTATGAGTGAAATATGCTCATTATTGGATTTTCTTCCAGCGTAAAATCGTTGTTTTTTCTTTTTCTCTTTCGATTCGAATATCTTTTCTATTCATTTATTTTTCGATCGCCGTGGCATTTTTCCACTCTTTAATTTTCATTCATTGGATTATGTATGCATTATGCAATGCATAAAGGATTTATCTATCTGTTATTTGTGTTACAGCCGTGGCAAAAGTCAAGCGCAGCACAAAGCCTTTGACACAAAGTAGAAATTATGAACCAGAAAAAATCCACAAAAACTTCATCGTTTCAATTCAAGTCTATTAAAAAGTGTCAGAGAACGCCAGATTTCTAGAGGATTTCTTTCATTCGTTTTCATTCTTTCTTCTTCTGATTTGAAATGAATGTCTGTCTCTCCCACCAATTGATATAAAGAGGGAGACGATTGCCATATTAGTTCACATTGTGAGAGATTGTTGGTGGAAACAAAGGTTACATGATGATATGTTCGGTCTCGCGCTGTGTGTGTGTGTATGTTGTATACGGCGATATTGATGAATCAAAAAATATGTAGAGAATCAGAGTGTTTATTGCTTTTAACCCGTCTCTTTGTCTTTGTCTGTACGAGATTTCAAATGGCCTGTCGACAGAATAGAACAGAGCAAAAAAGGCTTTACAACTATTAAAAGTGTATACCATCAATTCGAAATTAATGAAAAAAGAAGAAGGAATAGAACTAGAGATAAAAAAAGAAAAAGAATAACACACTCATACACTCGCACTCAACGCCAAATGGATGAGTGTGGAGCGAAAGAGAGAGAAAAAAATGTACCGTCACAAATTGTTATCGGACTGACTGAGGGAAATGAGCAACAATAACAACAACGCAGCACAGTGCAACACAGCAAACACACGGAGAAAAACTCCAATGCCAGCGCAAGCAAATGAAGCACAAATGAAAACCCAAAACGACCACGAACTCAATAGATAGAAACGAATGAATATGAATAAAAAAAAATAAAAGAGAGAAAAAAGGCACACCGAGAACCGAAGAACGCGTTTTAATGGATTCTCTCGGCCTATGCCCAACACAACACACAATTGTCTATACCACAGAGAAAGAGAGAGAATGGCTTGTACATGCGATTGATGTGCCTGCATAGTGCTTTCCTTTCTTACTATACAGCCTCTTTCATTACTGTGGAATTCAAGAACACTCGCGCGAATGTGAGCGAGAGCAGCGCGCACGGACCTGAGATCGGCCCGAGATCAATTTATATTATGCATTGCGCTTTGAGTAAATTCTTGATTATATTCATAACAAAATGCACGCACATCCATGCCATTTAAATGCCATTGCAAAAAGGAAATACTCGACATTAGACGAGAATGAGAGGGAGACACACACACACACAACGAGTACAAACGTTTTGCGCTCTCGCGCATGCCGCCTCATTTTCAAACCACAAAACAAACGTTCGAACTGAACGCTCAACTATTTGAAAAATTCAATTAAAAAATTTTATTTTCTAAAAATTAGCCAAACAGATTCATCTTATTCAATAGGCATTGGGCATCCATATAAACGACCATTGCTGTTTGAAACCCGTTCCAAGCTATCATTACACAGATGAAGCAGAAAGAAAAAAAATCTGTGCTCGTTTCTTTTTTCGGTAGTTTTTTCTTTCACTCACATACTACTAAGCAACATTGTTGCGCGGCTTTTTATAG